GTCATGATGACGTCCTGTGCCTGCTGGGATAGCATTTTAAGCTGAATTGTAAAATATTATCAACAATCATTATGGTAAAGACAAAAAAAAATTGTTATTAGAAAACTTTTATTAAAATTGTTTAAGTAGTCTGAAAAAAAAACCTCTCTGTTAAACAGCACTTGGGAATCAGGTAAAAAAAAGATTTTAAAATTTAAAGGAGAATAATTCATTGCTGTAATTTCTGTATAAAAAATTTAGCTTTTTTATTTTTAAGTATTATTAAGTAAAAAGTATTTTTTTTTTTTAGCTTAGCTATTTATTTAAAATAAGAAGTTGTCTGAGGAGAGCTCAATAATCCATAATGCAAACAAATGTGTAAACAAATGAAAAACACACATGAATCACGAAATCTGGCAAATTGTTGAATACTAGATTTTGCTTTACTGTCTTGTTAAACTTTTTTGTTGTTTGTTTTAATGAAAGGGCAACAATCATTATTACAATCATGTCTGGATGTGACTTCAGTGATTCTCATTGTCTTATAATGTGATTTTAGTTTATTTGTTCATATTTAATTGCTTCTAGACCGCACTGGTTTAGGTAAATGCTGATGAACAGTAATTAGTTCATTTCATTTATTCCTTCATTTTCTTGATGGTAGTGGGACCTGACAGAAATCTGGTGCAGAAATCTTTAGACCAACTCAGTTTTCATTTTTAATAATGCCTGCAGGGTTTGGAAAACATTTTTATAATCATTAATAAATAGATGTAGTAAATCTAAAACAAAATTTGAGGTCCTGTTCTTCCATTTTTATTGAATTATTCTTATGAGGTAACAATTAGTGTTGGTCCTTTTTCTTTCATAAATAAGTTGGTTTAGAGCTCCTATTGACCTTACACTGCAGAAATCATCCCAGAACATAAAAAACACTCCCCGTTAGCTGCTCGCATATTAACAGTATTTACAAATTTACAGTAGAGTTTTACCTTTTTTGGATCCATTCAGCCAATCTCTGGGCCCTATCATACACCCGGCGCAATGAGCCGCAAGGCCTGACGCAAATGTTATTTGCTACTGTCAGCTCGGCGCAAGGGTCATTTTGAGGTGTTGCGCCATGCTTTTTAAATAGCAAATGCATTTGCGCTTATATGTGCGCCCATAGGCGTTCTGGTCTAAAAAAGCAGGAGTGTTTTGGTGCGTTGCTTTTTTGAGAAACTGTAATAGTCTGTTCTTTAGACCAGAACAAACCCGGTGTACAGTCCGTTAGTTGTGCGCCTTGCTTACACACAAGATGTAGAAATATCTTTACATATGAAAAAGAATTAAAATATTAAGGATATATATATATATATATATATATATATATATATATATATATATATATATATATATATATATATATATATATATATATATATATATAAAGAATTCAAATATTACAAAACATATTATTTTCTAGCCTACATGAATTTAAAAACCACTGCCTTGAATCCTGCATCTCGGGAGGCTTTTTCAGTTCATTCAATTTGCTTTTGTATAATGTTACTATTATTAACAGTATTATTTATTGTATCCATATTTATATTTGTTTAATTAAAAACAAGCTTAGATTTTTAACGGTTTTAGACCGAATGGGGCATAGCAGGTATATTTGTAAATAACTCAGTATTTTGAGCACACTTCGTTATTATAGTTAATTTATTAGTTTGCCAGAACTGAATTTAGAAATTCAAATTCAGAAACTTTGCGCTTAACAAAGTTAATTATTTATGGGCTAATTGATGTCTGTGCCTAAAGGTTTCCCTATCCAAGAGAGCAAAAGCGAAAGTGAACTTACTTTACGTCATGTAAATAGCAAATACGCTTATGGCGCGATGCAACTGGCTCTTAAAGGGAGTGGGAGATGAGACTCTGATTGGTTTATTCTCAAAACACACCTATTACTCATTAAGAAAATAAACTTAACCCTTTTAGACCATGCACCATGACGCAAAACGGATTTTCCTGTCCTCATATTAGCACATATAGATTCTGACACCCTGAATGCGTTTGTGCCCTGCGCTTTCCATTTTGCGCATGGCCTGTCAAAATAGAGCCCTCTGTGTCTGATGGGAGCACTTTTAGCTTAGCATACATCGTTGTATCAGATTAGAACATTAGCATCTCACACAAAAATGATCAAAGATTATTAATAATTTTCATATTTAAAGCTCGACTCTTCTGTGGACACATGATGTACTAAGACCGACAGAAAAATTAAGAATGATACTGTCATTTAGGTAATGATAAAGAAGATTTGTTGCCATACCACGGCTGCAGCAGGCACAATTATTTTATGCAGCATCTGAAAAATATAGTCTCTGCACCATGCCTTACACTTGCAACACCAGTTAGAATTGTGCCTGCTGCAGCCGTGGTACAGCAGCAAAGTTCCCTGATTATTACGCCAGAATGAGAGTATAGTTCCTAGCCATATCGTAGACATGCCTAGAAAACAACATCTTTAATTTTCATCTGTCTTATTACACAATGTAACTAGAGAAGAGTCAAGCTTTAAATATGAAAATCAAAGAAAAGAGATCAGCTGAATGGATTCAAAAATAGTAAAAGTCAACTATTTAACTTTAGGCAAGTAGGAAAACTAGTGGCTTGATTAAGTTTTAGCAGTCATTATTCCAGTTTTCATCTTCATGTGATCCGTCAGAAATGTTATTATTGTGCTTTTTAATAGATTTATTACGCTGATTTAGAGCTCACATTTTTTATTGTTTTCAATTTGGAAAACAGTTTAGCTGCTTAATAGTTTTGTGTAAAAAAACATGTTTTCAAGATTATTTTATAAACAAAACCTGATTCTGTAACGTTATAAATATATTTTACTGCTGCATTTGATCAATTTAATGAATCCTTTTCAAATGAAAGTATTTCTTAGGTAAAAAGAAAAAAAAAAGAAAAAAAACAGTCTTTGAATGAAAGCTGATATAGTTCAAAAATGCATTTTACTAAACTTCATTTTCTTTTTTTTACAGATTTAAAATAAATGTTTATATTCTAATAATAAACATTTATATTCTACTTATATTACATTTATATTTTATTGTATTTGTCACAGTTACCAGCGATCTAGCTCATGCAGATCACTGTAGAACTACAAATCTACCAGCAAAAAAACTACATATCCAGTCATGCACCACTCACACACCTGACCTAGATCCCATAGTGTGCAAAAAGACACACCTGAAGCTGTTCAGGACTAATTACACAGACTTTTTATACATCTCTCAAACACACACACGGCTGAGTCTTATTATACTGTTTTTGAACATTACGATGTGTTCACCTTTGATACATGGTTCACGCTTTGAAGTATGTATCAAAAAAACGATACATCTCGCAGTAAAGCAGTGTAGCGGAGCTTGATTCGTTTTGCCATAATCACGTGACCACTGACGTCCGAAGCTTCATTTTCGCTTATACCCATGTGACTGCTTCAAATTTTGATTCAAAGGTTTAAACACCCTCATGGTTTAGTAAAGTGTATAGCGAGAGATTAGGCTTCAATTACATACATTTCTAATGTTTCAAAACACTTCACCGATCCCACACACCAGTAATTAAACTAAAATACAATACTAATTTATAGTAAAAAGTTTCTGAACCATGCTAAAGTGTATTAGCATATTTTTTACAATCTTAAAAGAAAACCACAGAATATCGTAGTATAGTGTATAACTGAGGCCAGCTGGGGAGTGCAGCCTGAAAGCATCACTCTCATAGCTTCCTCCAAGAGCATTCGCCTCCCATGCAGGAATCGCTGGTTAGACCTCCGTTTGGAACGAGAGGGTGGGTGAAGGTCCAGTTGGGACACGATAAATGTAAATTCTTTTGAATACCTTGGATTTTACTAGGTATCGGTGGTGTAATGTAACATATCTAAACTACAGTAATTGAGTAATTTGTTGTTGTTTACTGTTGTTGTATTCCTACATGAATGAGTGGGTCAGTTGTGAACATTTGACATTATTGCAACACAGTGCTTTCCCAAACTTTATCCAGAAGTGATCCTCATCGAGCTCGGATTTAGATAGCTTCGGGTAACTAACCTTTTTCCGATACAATTGAGCCGAACGCTTCACTGGTTCAGAAAGCTTAATTTCACCATCACTACTGATTGTGACCGTTGCTTGTCTGACCTTTCTATAATCCTGAGCTTAGATCCGCACCTCTGTTGTCAGCGTTTTAAATACATTTAAAGAAGACTCAGCCATGTGTGTGTGTTTGAGAGGTGGATAAATAGTCTGTGTAATTAGTCCTGAACAGCTTCGGCTGTTTCTGTTTGCAATAATGGGGATCTTGGCCCGGTGCGTGAGTGATGCTTGACTGGGTATGTCAGGTTTGGAGTTCTCCAGAAATCAGCATGGGCTAGAGGTTACTGAGTATCGGTAAAATATTAATTTTAAATATGATTTTTGAATGTTTTGCGTTAGACATTTGTATTACATGTACTTTACATTTACATTTAATTTTTGTAGATGCTCCTTATACAAAAATAATGTAAAAACCTTTTTAAGTATATTAACCATAAGGTTTCAAAAGAGCTTTTTCTGTGTGAAGGCAGGGTGGCAGAGTGTGTGTAGAAAATCGACAGCCTAAATGCACCATCTGGGATTACATTTAACCACAAAAACATACAAAGACATAACAGGCTCAAAAAAGGGAAGGGAAAAATCAAAACCAGGGTAAATGAGATTTCTAGACCATTTCATAGCGGTGTTATCATAAATAAATCACATATATGTATGTCTTCAATCAAAACAACTGTCATCTGAAATATGAAAAATACATATGCTATTAAAAAAGCACTGCTAAGAAATGGTCAATGATCTCCAGCAGGCACAGCGAGACAGGCAGGATTTGATGGCACATGGGAAGGAACAGGGCAGCTGAGATTGGCTTTTTTACATGTCCATCAAAGAAATGCTCACCCTTCTAAAACAAAATGGCTGCCAGTGAGGCTATGCCCAAATGCCCTCCTCATCATCCTATTGGTTAAGAGATGGCAAGGGTTTAGCCAAGTGCAGCATGGGAAAAAAGATCAGGTTAGTATGCGAAGAAATCCAAGTAGAAGCGACCTGTAAGCGCAAACGCAAGATCAGCTTTCAATGTATTTGACGTAAATAATAGCATTACAACGTTGATCCTGGATCTGCGCTTAGGGACAATTTCTACAGTCATGAATAAGAATAAAATCCATAGGGTTGAGAAGTCATGATCAATATGAAGGCAGTAAAAAGGAAATGATGGCAGTTGCATTGGAGGTGAGAGCAGCTTCACGTTATTTACGATAACATGACTGTAATGGAAACGGACAACAGCGCGTTCATTTCCAATTCAGTTTCCGCTATTTAATGTTTTATTAATGAGTATGAAACTGACCACACCTCCAATTTGTCTTTCTTCGGCTTGCTGTCAAGTTTAAGCTCCTATGAATATGAGATAAGCAAAATACAGCAATGGTACTATTATTTCCTATTCAGCCATATTGAATTGAAACTGAACAAAACAAAAAGAGCTGATGACTGTAGTAAACTAATTTAAAGGAACAGTTCACCAAAAATGAACACACTGTTATCATTTACAATTTGTTCTAGAAAACAAGTCACACCTTACTATAAATTACATAAGTGAATACATGTATAATATCATTCATAAATATAGCTGCAAGCTGTAATAAAGGGGCCAAACACATCAAAGGCAGATGAGGAGCAAAGCATAGCAGGGATGATCAGACAACAGGCGATTTAATGGCTGAAAAATCATATTATGAATACAGTCACTACTAGTATGGTTAATGGTTTATCAGCAATAAGTGGCTCTGTTACCTAATTGATGTGCTGTGGTTAGTGTAAGTGACCATGGCTTTGTAATGATCCAGGCTCATGTCTACTTTGGTGAGCTTTTTATTGATCTAGTTTTGGACGTTATTCAAGAATTGTTTGACTAAACAGCTTAAAGGTGCTGTATGTACGTTTTTCACCTCTAAAGCATATACATACCATAATATGTTTGCAGATATTTAACAATGTTTATAACATATTTGTGTTTCTGAAAAACATTGCTAAAGTCAGTTATTCTTCTTTGAAAAAGTGCTTTCTGTGCCGGAAAGTCTGTCTTTGTTTTGGTCTCTATAACCAGCCCACTGCCAGTTTACCCAATTATATTTCAGCACCCAGGACGGCCTTGGTGGAAAACTGTCTATTTCATTTCTGTCATGAAGGCTTTTAATGTATGTGTCCTTGGCCAACAACACGAGAAATATTTAAATTTAGCCATTTAGAAGCGAGAAATAAAAGCTGTTTCTAAAAGACTAATGGTTAGAACAAAAAGTATTTTTAACATGGAAAATATTATTTCGGTCGTGTCATGGATCGTAGTTAGGACACTGTGTTAGCTTGATAGTCAGGCACGCTTGGTCTGGTTGGTGTTGTCAATCTGGCAACCTGCATTTGCGTGGAGTTATCAGAGGGGAGGCTGGGTAAAAAAGTAATTTTAATTAGGAGTACAATACCAAAGACTATAGAATACATAATACATGTCACTTGTATAATTTTGAATAAGGAAACGTGTAACTGTCAATATTGGGAATGAAGCTCTGCCTTCTAGTACTGGAGCCAATCAGCGATCGCTATATGGCAAATAAAGCTCTGATTCAAGTACAATAGCCAATCAGTGATCACTATATTGACAATTCTCCAAGGGAGGGGCTCAGACCAGACATGAGTTTTACTGGTTATTCGTAATCTTGGCAAGGAGTTTTGTAGAATTTGATGTTTTCCCATTCAAACAGAATGCCTGAGCATACTGCCCGAAAGGCGTTTTAAAGATGGCCGCCGAGTGAAATAACTTGCCTTAAAGGCACTTTGACAGTACCTATTTCAACTATTGGGTGTCAATCTTAAATATTGCACCTTTAAATTTGACCATTTTTTTATTGCATTTGCTGAAGATAATTTGGTTTAACTTGTATGTAAATTCCTAATGGGAATTATAGCCTTCCAAATGAGTGAAATCAATTATGGCTGCCATGTTAAGGTGTCATTCTAAACCAAATAGCTCAAGACTGCCACTTTGAAGGGCCATACAGAAAGTTTGATTTCAAAGCGGTAAAAATTGACACTTCGGGTGTCAGACAGCACTTTGCATTTACAAGGGCTCATCCCTATGCCCTAATCTAACACCCTGTATGAAAAGTTTTAAAAAGTTAATTTTTTTATAAGTAGTCAACAAAAAGTTGGGCTGAGAATGGCATAACTTATCAGTGACCTCTGACTCTATCAATACCACCAAAGCTACAACCCCAAATCAGAAAAACTTGGGACAGTATGGAAAACAAAAATAAAAAAAGAAAGTAGTAATATCTAAATTTACTATGACGTGTATTTTATTGCAGACAATATGGCAAACATTATTAAATGTGTTTCTCATGATTTTTTATTGTTCTTTTTTTAAGAACACGTTCCAATTTTGGTTCTTGCAACACATTTCAACAGTAAAGCATTTACTTCTTTGTAATGCTGCCATTCCTTTTCACAACACTTAAAATACATTTAGGGACTGAAGAAACCAAGTGATGAAGTGTTTCAGGTGTAATTTTGTTCCTTTTTTCCTGCAAACAAGTCTTAACTTAGGCAACAGTATGTGGTCTTTGTTGTGGGTTTTTGCACGTTAAAATGCTCCACACATTCTTAATTGGAGGCAGGTCAGGACGGGCAAGCCAGTCAAGTACCTGCATCCTCTTCATCTGCAGCTGGGACTTTGTAATGTGTGCAGAATGTGGTTTCTTGTTGAAATATGCATAAACGTCCCTGGAAAAGAAGGCAGCATGTTGTGTTCCAAAATCTCCATGTACTTTTCAGAATTAATAGCGCCATCACAGAAGCGCAAGTTACCACTGACAAAAGGCCACATCATGACAGACCCTGGCTTTTGTACTTGTTGCTGGCAACAGTCTGGACAATCATTTTCTTATTTGGTCAGAAGCACACAGCGTCCATTTTTCCCAAAAATACCTGAAATACTGATTCCTCTGACCACAGTACACTTTTCCACTGTGTGACAGTCCATCCTAGATGCCTAAGAACACAAATAAGTCATACGCTCTTCAGGACACTGTTAACATAGGGCTTCCTTTTGGCACAGTACAGTTTTAACTGACATTTGTGAATGTACCTAAATATTGTGGTACTTGACAAAGGTTTGCCAAAGTAGTCCGGAGCCTAATTCTTAATGAAGTGCCACATGAGGGATCAGAGATCACACAGCTTCGGTTTGCGCCCCTGTCCTTTACGAGCTGAAATTCCTCCAGATTCCTTAAATCTTTTAATTATGTTTTGCACTGTTGAAGGTGAAATATCCAAACGTCTTCCTGTCTTTCTTTGAGGAACATTGTTTTTAGACATTTCGATCATTTTCTTGTGTGTTTGTTGGCAAACTAGTGATCCTCTGCTCATCTTTGCTCCTAAAAGACTAGACCTTTCTTGGATGCTGCTTTTGTACCAAATCATAATTACAATCACCTGTTGACATCACATGTTTCAAATCACATCATTATTTAACCAATTTACCCGTATTAATAGACCTAAATTATGGGAGACGTGGTGGTTACAGTAGGTTGTGCTTTCCCCTCACAGCAAAAAGGTCGCTGGTTCAAGCCTGGGCTGGGTCAGTTAGCGTTTCGGTGTGGAGTTTGCATGTTCTCCCTACATTCGCATAGATTTCCTTCGGGTGCTCTGGTTTCCCCCACAAGTCTAAAGACATTCGGTACAGGTGAATTGGGTAAGCTAAAACTGTCCTTAGTGTATGTGTGTGAATGAGTGTGTATGGTTGTTTCCCAGTGATCGATTGCAGTTGGAAGGGCATCCGCTGTGTAAAACATATGCTGGAAAAGTTGCCAGTTTCTTTCCGCAGTGGTGACCCCAGATTAATAAAAAAGGGACTAAGCTGAAAAAAAGTGAATGAATACTAGACCTAAATTGCTCCTGTGCCAACTTTTTTTTGGAACGTGTTGCAGATTTGAATGACAGGAAAGGAAGTATGTTTACGAATGAAATGAATATTTTGCGTTCATATTGTCTGCAATGAAATTTAAATCAAAATAAATTTAGAAATCATTACTTTCTTTTTTATTAGCATTTTCCATACTGTCACAACTTTTTCTGATTTGGCGTTGTATTTTATAAGCTACAAATCCAAAGAGAAAAGATTTTGTGGCAAATTATTGCAAGAACCCTGACCTCTGTTGCACTGAGCCAAATCTGTGCAACTAACCTCAAGTAATGATTGTTATAAGACACACCAACACTGACACCAAAAAAACAAAGCCTCTCGTGCAATTTAATGAGCTTGTTGTTTGCAGATTATTTAACAATGGTTTGACTAATCAACAATTTTCCTGCCAAAATGGTCTAAAGATGATCTGCTTTGATATCCACTCAAATCAGTCCAATTTTCAAGAACTGGCGAAAACAAATTAATTTGAAGAAATCAGAAACAAAAGGGTTACGTTATTACAATAAGCATGTTGTCACTAGAGGGAGCAAAATCAGTTCGGCTCAAGTTCACATTTTCTTCTATATTAGTATAAAACTAATGAACAAATAATTGTGACATTTCTTATAAATGTCAAGCCTACAAACAAAAAAATGTAACTAGCGTTGTGTGGAAAATGCACTATAAATACTGACATTCAAAAATTTAAATATTAAAGTCACAGCATATTTCAGATACTAAAACATGTAGCTGTTTACACCTGGTCACAAGTTTTTTCTTATCGGGAAGCTATCTGATCATTAAAAAGATATTAATCATGTCACTCTATCCAATTCAGGAGGTGGCCTGGCATGCATTGTAGAAAAAAACTTGTCTCAGGGCATCTGGTTGTTGAAACCACAAATGTAATTTTTTCTTCTCATAAAATGTAAAAAAAAAATTAAATAAACATGTGATCGAGTGTTATTGGCTTTATTAAATATTCAAATATAACAGCATAAATGCAGCACGCAACACAAAGATGATAGTTTAGGATGTTTGATTTGTTTAATTTTTTTTTATTTTTTTTATCGGCCATTTGTTAATCATCCATTGTCCTGATAAAAACTACAAAATTGCTTATAAAATTCCAGGATTTTAACTTTGTAATTGTCAAATTCATAAATGATGTAACTGATTTGGTGGGGAAAAAAACTCAAAATGACGTATTTTAACATAAAAAGTAATTGTGGACTGGATTTATTTTTATTACCTTTTATCAAAGTCTTTGAGGCATGGTGGCACAGTGGATAGCATGTTCGCCTCACAGCAACCAGGTCGCTGGTTCGAGCCATGGCTGGGTCAGTTGGTGTTTCTATGTATGTGCATGTTCTCCCTGTGTTCCTGTGGGTTTCCTCCGAGTGCTCCAGTTTCCCCCACAAGTCCAAAGACATGCGGTACACTTCTATACAGCTTAAAGTGACATTTAAAGGCGTAAGTAGATTAATTAGGTTAACTAGGCAGGTTAGGGTAATTAAGCAAGTTATTATTTATTGATGGTTTGTTCTGTAGAATATCGAAAATAATATAGTTTAAAGGGGCTAATAATTTTGATCTTAAAATGGCTTTTATTAAATTAAAAACTGCTTTTATTCTAGCCAAAATAAAAATAACAATAAAAAAACATCTTTCTCCAGAAGAAAAAAATATTATTTGACATACTGTGAAAATGTCCTTGCTTTGGTAAACATCATTTGGGAAATATAAAAAAAAAAAATTTAAATTCAAAGGCGGACTAATAATTCTGACTTCAACTGTGTCTGTACGACAAAGATAGATGTTTCATTTAGCGTTTCATTAGCGCTTTGCACTGATATTTTACTGGGACACAGGTGAAGAACAAAGCTTCCTGTAGCCTAAATGCAAAATGATTTGTATCCCTAATAATATATACGGTATAGCTTATGTTTCATATAATGAAATAAAATGCAGTGTATCTGATGCTTTACTAATCATAGCGTAGGTAAATGTGCATATAGTGTGGCGTTTAAAGATTGGAATCATATAATCGACACATTTCTGTAGTCAAATGTAAATATAACCATTTTCCCAAACCAGAAAGCTATTTGATCAGAGAAAATGCACAAAGTGACCAGGTGTAAACAGGTCCAGATTTTGGACAATGCAATACTCATGTTTCGTAAAAGTTGGGCATATTATGAGAATGAGTAAATGTAACAGGATTTTTTTCGAGGTGAACTGTCCCTTTTGCTGATGTTTGCAGAGGACTGGATTATGACCTGATCAGGTGATTTCGGAGGTTTGTGATTGGTCTGGTCAGGTGGTGTTTTCAAGTATCCATCATCATAATTATCCGCCATGAGCTTCATGCGGTTCTGTGTCTAGGAGAAAAGAGGAGGAACAGATGTAAGGAAAGATTGGGAGGGTAAAAACGGATGAAAACATGGGTTGATTTGGGGTCAAGAAAAGATCAATTAAAAGAAGCACATCAATAGACCTTGTTTATATACATAAAAGGTCAGCAGTCAAAACAAAGATGTATTTTGTCTAAGTCTTTTAGGTTTTTCTGCAACTTCTGTTATTGTTGACAGAAATCAGATAAACAAAGTAATCTTGAGCACAGTCAGATCCGCTCGGTGACGCAGGCCGTACCTGCTGTTTGAGCTGCTGCACCAAACGGTCCTTTTCTCTTCGCAGCTGAGCCACTTCTTCCTGTGTTTTCTTCTTTTTAGATGAAGAGAGCTCCAGCAAGGCGATGTTAGCATCCTTCTCACTTATGGCAGCCAGAAGAGCCTCTTGTCTGTGGATTACAGTTGATCAAAGCAGGTTAGAAACATATTATCATTGAGTAAATCTTTAGGATTATAGTAACAAAAAAGAGTTTTGTAAAGATTTGAAAAAAAAAGTGAAAATTTTTAAAGATTTTGAAGATTACTACCACTACTAGAGATATTAATTGAAATCAATCGCTTTTTAAAATGTTGCGATTAGCAAGTTTATTATCGCAAGTGGCTGCGAAATGAATATATTTTTTAAATTTCCCCCACCCAGAGCAAATGCATGACCGTTGTCTGTGTGCAACAGTATTACTAGCCAATCGGTTGAGCACACTTTCTTTCGGCCAGAATTGTGCAACAGAACTTTGCGGAATTCCCACAATAAAAAAACAATCAAACAGGAAAGCGCAGATGAGTGGGATGATGGCGTGTGCTGCTTCAAAAAGATTAATAGTTTTATTAATATCAAAGAAAAACAGTACGTCAGTATTATGTGGGAATATTTTCATTTCAAATGCAAAGACACCGAACAAAAACAGGTAATTGTAAGAGCTGTCACAGAATTTTTTCCAGCATGAGGAAATACAACAACCAGCACCTAAAAAAGTACCACAGGCGGCTATGTAAGGAGTGTGATTGAGCTGAAGCCTAAAGAACCCCTATTATGGGTTTTTGAGAATGACCTTCCATGTAGTGTGTAACACAGCTCTGCGTGAAGTGAAATATCCAGCTAAGGCTTAAATTTGAAAGTGAACAGTGTTTAAAACTATTGATTCGTTTAAAAAAAGATTCGACACATAGTGCTTAAAATCAATCGTTAAAGGAAAATTTAAATCTACGGCCCTGCCCACAAACACTGTAGCAGATCCCGGTTGTATCAAGTCATGAAGATGTTGTGCTCATCTGGATATTACTGGAAGTGTGAGGGAAAGTTAGTGTTATTTTCCATACCCAATGATGAAACTGAAGAGTATGTGATTGAGGATTATTTTTGTAAAAATACCTCAGCATTATAGCCCTAATTTTTCTGAAGAGTGCTTTAGTAATCTACACTTTTACAACGGGGGATTCGTTGGCCATTTGTTAAAGAAAGGATCAGAAAAGACTATTGATGTGTGGGACTTTGTCAGAGCTCGACAGGAACTTTAAAGTAACTTTCACATTTCACGGAACAGTTTCTTCCTCCATTTCAGGTTCAGGTTAGATTCGGGGGTGACGTGACTGATCAACACTGTTAAAAAATCGGGTACTGTGGTGTTAGTAACTACTATGAAGCGTGTTTTGGCCGGCCGATGTGATCGGATCATATATAAATGTTGGCGACCCGGGGTTTTCACAGACTGTACCAAAATGCTGAGGACTAGGGGGGGGGTTGAAATTACGGGAGTTTTCCAGTACAAAATAACAAAACGGGACTGTGGCGGTAGATAGGTACTGGACACTCCTGGGAAAAACAGTGTTGGCAGGTATGCTCACACATACAGTGTGTACTCTGACTACTTGAATATTGTTTATAAGTCGTGGTGGGCATTTAACTCTGTCTCACGCTGAAGGCTGTTGACCAATCGCAAAGGGCGATCATATGGGAGTCGCTGGGATAATTAGGTAAAAATGAATGCATATTATAAGATAATGAAAGTGTTTTTTGACCTTGCATGCATATCAGCCTGTTGTTGGAGACCCTTAAAGGGCACCTAGGTTACCCCACTTTTCAGATTTAATATAAGTGTTTTGCATCTTCAGAATGTGTATGTAAAGTTTCACCTCAAAACACCCATCAGATTTTTCATTATACCTTTTACAAGATCTATTTTTAACATTTTCCACCAGGGGGCCGTTTAGTCGTACTGCACCTTTAAGAATAGTCCGCCCCACCCACCGTTTCTACATGTCTTTCTGCGCGCCTTAATCTTCTCCCTCGGCTGCATCAGACAACAGACTGACAGACTTAGGAAGAAGATCTCACGTAGCGTTTGTGACAAATACTACAGTAAGAACTTTACCAATGAGCATTTGTTGTATAGATGAGTCCCACAAACAATGTCAATGTACAAAGTTCACGCGCGTACACACATACAGACCGACACACACAGACACACACACTGACAGACAGAGCGCGTTTAGCTTTCCACTCTTTTTGCACGCAAATGTGACAGGATACAGGCTACTGCTGTGTGGATATCTGTTATGTTAATGTACAAAACAAACCTGATTTAACGTCCACAAACCGGGATTGAAGCCTCTTCTTTTATAATTGACACGCGGCTGTGCTGATAAAGTAAAGTTGAAGTGAATCACTGTACTTCATTACACACGTGCACTGTTTTGAAACATTTTAAACATGTGGAACTTACACTTCATCACATTTGATGATAATTGATTATCCTAGCGAACTGAACAAACTTTTATTCCCGACTGCTTTGAGCATGTCTGGTCTTGTTGACATGGTTATACACGTGACTACCAGGACATGCTACACAAAGCAATCAATTCGGTGGGTGGGGGGCCACACTCCTACGTCGCGGTTGCAGTCGGTCTGAAAACCGCTCCAATTGGTCCACTATTTTTATGTTGTTAAATTGAAAAAAAAAAAGGACTGTGTGTGTTTATTTCACCCCAATATGACGGTCTATACACTATACCAACACACATGTCTGTCCAAACAGCTTGAAAAGTAGATTTTCACCATAGGTGCCCTTTAAAACCAAAATATGACTCTTTTTAATGTATAATAGGGGTTCTTTAACAAAAACAAAATTATCGCAAATCAAAAAGAAATCACAAAAAAAAAGCAAAAAAAAAAGCAGCCCTACCTACTATTATTATTATTATTATTGTTAAAAAAGTAAATAAATGAAAAATATATATTAAGATATATATTAAGTAATAATGGTATTAAAAAAACAGCAATTATTATTATTATTATTATTATTATTATTATTATTGTCATTATAATTATTATTATTATTATTATTATTGTTGTTGTGAATAAGCCTGACTTTAATGTTATTACTATTTGCACAGATTAAATGCATTCATATTAGGCTAAATATTTATTAATACAACATATTTTTCTAAACTATAATAAATGGCTGAAATTATTAAAAATCTAATTCTAATGTTAAATATTATTGATTTTATTATCACCTGCAGTAAAATTATAGATTTAACACTTTTAATAAAACTGCTTCAAATTAAGTATATAAAAACATTATAAAATAAAATTGCAAAACACTAATAACACTGGTTGAAATAATTTGATTATTTCATTCATTTTTTGTAGTAGTAGTAGTATTATAATTGTTATTAATATTAGCATATGCCTTATATTTTGTACTTTTTTATTATAAAATGTTTGTTTACACGTTATTATTATTATTATTATTATTCATCCATTGTCCTTCAGCTTAGTCCCTCATTTATCAGGGATCGCCGCAGAGGAATGAATCAGCAACTATTCCAGCATATGCCCTTCCAGCTGCAACTCACTACTGGGAAACAATTATACACACTCTTTCAAACATAAACACTATGGACAATTACACAAAAAGTACAAACATACCAATAAAATAATAAATGAAAACGAGCAAAACTACATTTTCAAAACCATAATAAACCTGGTTGAAAGGATTTAAGTCCAATGTCAAACTGCACTTTACAGCAGTACTATGGAAATGCTCTTGAAAGCGGTTGACCTCATTGACAATGACCAGAAGTCTTACAACGCTCAGCAGAGCAGATTAAAGTATGTCTGCATTCACAAGTACAAAACACCTCAGCGGAATATGGATTTTGTCAAAATGATTGTGCATAATAGTCTGAGAAGGCCTGAAATAGCTTGTTTATTCTCAGTTTCTCCACAGACTCCCAAGTGTGCAGACAGAAATAGTGCCACGTGCTGAATGAATCATCCTCCACATTTATTATCTCCATGAAAAAACGTGATACTCAGAACAGAAGGTTTTACAGCCTATTTTTCGACCGCGATGTTTACTCTGTATTAACTGATTTATATCATTAACACTCCGGCTTGCCAAAGCTGACCTCAGAGTGAGATCTAATGGAAAATATGGCTGTTTAATGATTTCAAACTGTGAGCTGTTTATTAAGATCTTGGAAGTTTATTATATAACACAAAGTGTGTCTTGTATGCAAATGGCAGATGCAAAAATATTTAATTTTTAGAGAGGTTCTTACAGGTTAGTGCATCGACACATACACTCTGGTGCTCACAGCGACCTGAGTTTGATTCCCGCCTCGTGGACCTATGCTGATCCCTTTCTTTTCTCTGCTCTCTGTGCTTTCCTGTCAATGCTCTATACCTTCCTGTCCATTAAGGGTGAAAACCCAAAATAATTATTATTAAAAAAAAAATGTCACACCAAAAATCATTCAGTTTTGGACACGTCCAAAAGAGGTGGGTCAGGGAGCCTTCAGCAGACTTACAACGGTCACATGTAAGGGAGATGGTAGGAAAAATACAGTGTAATTTAGAATTTGAGTGGTGCAGTCTATTCATTACTTCAAATTGAACTAACTGATGCCTGCAATTAATAGAACAAGAGCGAATTCTACTGTCTTAATCTATATGCCCAGTTCCTCTTCCTAAGCATTCTTCAAATGAATTGTAGAGTAACTCAGTTCTTGAGAAAACAGCAAAACAAATATCCAAAATCTAAAATCAAATGTTAGGAATCAGATGAGCCCAATAGTAGTACGTAAACTTTTCTTTCATCTGGCGGCGATTCAAAATTGGGTATCGCATGACTTAATTTCTAATCTGTAAATGTCGAAAGAATTGTGTTGTGGGAAAAGAAAACTTCTCTTTTAGTTGAGAAAATGAGGCAAATTTTTTATTAACATGTAAATCCTTTAGGATGACTATAACTTATAAGCCTTCAAATATTGAATGCTGTGTCAGAGATAGAGGGGGGGATGCATGATTATGATATACTGGAATAGAAGTAGTATGAGTCTGGTAAAACGCCATATTTTCTAACAGTTTCAAACAATCAAATTATCA